ATCTGAAAAAAAAATAAAAGGATGGGAGAAATATATCAAGTAAATACTAAGCAAAAGAAAGCTGGTGTAGCAAAATTAATGCAAAAACAGTAGTAGTATTTATCCACAGAAGTATGGCACATCACGAACACCACGCCAAGCAAATGTAGTCAGTATATTAAACCAGAACTACTAGTGAGATACAATCAAACTGCAACTTTACTTTTGTCTAATACTGTACTTTTAAAATTACATTTCTCTCAAGCCCCAGGGCTTTGCTGCCATTTTACAGTCACTTTACATCACAAATTGAGTCCCAATTCACTGATTAGAACATCAAGTTCCAAATAATAAAGGGTCACTGAACCTGATTTAGAGTTAAACCTTCTCTGCTCACCTAGCACCAACTTCAGGTGACCTCCCATATTTGAGGAAAGGGATGCACTGAGTTTCTGTTCTTTGTCCATCTTCCTTCCCCAGCTTGCTAATTTTGACTTCAGGCCTGTCCAGGGTTGGAGTGAAGAGAAAGAGAAAGGGGGAAAGGAGCAGAAAATTTTTGTCTGGTTATATAGTAAGTTGGCTTTACTCTCCATGGATCTAGCTTTTTAAAGGGGACTCTCTTCAGAGGCTCCCTTACTGCTACCTCTGTATCAAAAATGCAACATTCTATTGCTGTTTCTCCTTCATCTTTGAGTTTTTCAGCTGTCAGTTCCATAGGGTTTTTCAGCTGGAATCTGTAGCACCCTCAAATGGCTCTCTTTGAGATCAGCTTGCTCTTCTTCATGGCCCACTTCTTGTACATGGGAAATACTCACATATCTTTTGCCCCCAACAAATTGGAAATGCAGACAAATCACAATACAGTTACCACTCCCACCATCACCACAGCCACATTCTCTAGCCAGTAAGATTTTTCAGTCTGGAGGCAGATAACATACCACTGTGCCTTCCAACGCCAGGAGACACATATCAAGCTTTAGGGGGTCCAGTTGAATCCATGGAGTGAAAAGGAAAGCACCTCAACTCTTCCAGCTTGGAAGCTCATTCCAAAGAAATCTTCCTCAGAAAAATTCCTTCTTCATATCTCCTCTCTTGATCCTTTTAATCCTCCTTGTGGGTTTTAGAGCTGCTTGGTTATTTCCTTTGAAAATCTGGTTTTAATTTCATATCTGTTATATCTTAATGCCTAAGAGGAGACTTTTAATTTGACATCCTGTCATGGAAATTTAAGCCAACCAGTCCCTCAGTCCTGGAATGGCACAGTATAAAGTTAAAAAAAAATTAAGGCCGGGCGCGGTGGCTCAAGCCTGTAATCCCAGCACTGTGGGAGGCCGAGGCGGGTGGATCACGAGGTCAAGAGATCGAGACCATCCTGGTCAACGTGGTGAAACCCCGTCT